GGCATACGTGCGAAGAATAGAGTGCTGGCACATTTGCTGCTGGACAACGCGTACGACGGGAATCTACTACCCGACATATCCAAGTGCGACTATTTGCGYGGGAACGAAGGTACTACGAGTTTGCAGCCGCTGTCCGGGCTACCACCGTTTGTAGACGATGTGTTTGTCTATGGATTTGTCGCAGAGAACGACATGTATGGTAGGATATGCAGGAATGCGAAGACACTAGTCTCCAAGGTRTCCACTGCGGCCCAGGAAGCATTTGGTACCTTTCTACACGTCCAAATAGTACACAGCTGCAGGCAAGGAAAGATAGTAGATAGCGTTTCCAACTTGGTAGGCAAGTGGTATAGCTTGCATGGAGAACCCGCAGCGGTATTTGTAGCCAAAGTAGACACCTCGGAATTGTCCATAGAAACCGTAGAGGAAAAGATACCCCACTTTGCTACTTTGCTGGATTCCCATGGGTACGGTATCTATTCCGTGGACTACACAGGATTTCTCCGGTACTTTGGATAGAAAAGCTTTGGTGCGCAGATTGTTGCAGATGGGCTACGAAATGCAAGGAGAACTGGGTGGACGCAGAGGTACTATWTTGGACAACACGCACCAAGTAGGCAGCCATGTTTGTACTTGGATGGAAGACGGCAAACGCACGAAAATATACRACAAAATAGTATCCAACTTCGAAGCCGGCGAAGTGCAAAATCCAGTAGGTGCAAAGTTGGCAGAGTATGTGGATTGTCCAAACGAGCACTTGGACATTCCTGCATCCAGACGTGCAAAAAAGAGGATGCAGCAGAGTGGAAATATCCATCTATGGTAGGGATTTCTCCAAAGAACACACCAATGCTATTGCGGAGACTATAGAACCTCTAGGAGACATATTTGTCGTGCAACCACCCAAAAATATGTGGTTGGCGCTCGCAGAACACTTGGATAGGTGTTTGTGCATTTGCTGCGAAGAGACAAAGGAAATCTACCTAGCTTGGTACTGCCACGCGACAACGGGAAGAATASCCGGCATACGAGTACGAGGCAACGAAAGATGGGAACAATGCGTACTTTGGACCATAGCAGAGTTTGGTTTGCGCAAACGCCCCATATTCCGCATAGATGTACGAGGATTGGACCCGGTGGAAATCCTACCGCTGCGGTGCTACACGAAGGACTCTCCTACCGTATTGGCGGAGTCTAACAAACCCACCAGAGTACACGAAGATCCTCCTACTATCGCAGAGTTTCTCCCAACCACGGAGCACGTAGAGTGGGTTTGGCGCACGAAGAAGGCACAAAAGATAGGAGTAGAGAAAAGTCTATTTGGAATACTAGAAGTTCCTACGGACCGCAGAATATCCACCCTATCCAAGAGAAAACGACAGCAAAGATTGGAAGACATACGGGACGATTTGGAGGGAGACGAGTGGGTAGAAGCTACGAAAAGATACCACGCAGAACTCTTGGAGCAAAGAAACTCCATACTCCGGCAAAAAGAAGAATACAGGAAGAAAATAGAGGTAGAATTGGAGAAATACAGGAAAACATTGGATAGGATTTCCAGGAGAACAGACAATTTGCGTAGATTCTTCTTTGGCCAGGATGTTTGCGAGCAATTCCTAGAGGATTCCGTGCCTCGCAGAACCAAAGTACATCGAATGCAAGAAATACCCGCAGGGGAGTACAAAATACTAGGCTACGCAGTGCCCAAAAACGTAGATACTGTTTGGCCGGCAAGAGGACACCGAGTAGCATTGCGAAAAGGCAAAGAAACCTGCATTGCGTGGGCCACGGAAGCAATACTGGACGCATGCATGGCAGGGAAGTTCGAAACAAACGAAAACATGCGCATAGCCATACCCGGGGAAGAAATATTGCTAGAGTGGAAGAACAACATAGCAACTGTCTTCGTACCCGAAGGACCCGGTTTGGACACGTACTACGAGTTGGCTAGGAAAATAGACCATTCGATGCCCAGAAATCCAGGAAAACTACTAGAAGTGCCGGCGCCACCCAACAAAGAATGCACGCARGCGCTGCACATGCAGGAAGGAGAGTACCAATGCTGGAAGTACGCCGAAACCACCTACAGAAAAAAAGAAAGAACAATTCTGTTTCTCTCGGAGAAATGCCCCGAGTGCGTTTTGGAGGGCTGCACGGTAGAACATGCTACTACACCGGTTTGGGGGCACTTTCTGGACGAGCAGGAAATAGATTGGACGCAGCAGCCGCCCTTGTACTGCAATATTGGTAGAGAAAAGTCTACCAAGGCAAAGAAGAAAGACCGACTGGTGCACGTCTCTACTCCATCTCCGGAATCCTAGACTTCGGTTTGGGCGTTTCTGGGCGCGCATAGTAGACTACTTTGGGTGGCCTGCTTCGCGCCCAAACGAAGGCAGCTATGCCTACGACTGCAAATAGCACATTGCTAGCTATTTGCCAGTCTATTTTTGTGAATACTTTCTCCACTTCGCCCTTTATTTCTTCCGCGTCTATCTTTTCGAACGAATCTTCTTCCTGGTCCATTTTGGCGAGTAGTTCCTCCTTTTGCGTCCCGCAGTTCTTCTCTGGCTTTTTGCAAGTCGTCCAACACTATAGCAAAGGATCCTGTASTTCTAGGAAATGTTTCTGCAGGTCTGTAGTTGGTGGCTTCTCGGGAATTGCTACGCCGTTCTCTCGCTCTATCCTGCGTATCTTTGGTATTCCTATGCCGTACTTCTTGKCTACCTTCTGCAGCCCTACGCCGTTCCGTCTATCTTCCAACAATCCTGCGATTTCTTCCTCGGATAGTATTTTGGGTGTTGCCATATACATCTAGAAATATAGTTTGGACATGGGTATTCCATGGACAAACACTATGGGTCCATAGSATATAGACATGTATCTCTATGTAGCTCTAGGCATAGCTAGCTACATGCTAGGAAAACAAAGAACAACACAAATACTCCTGGAGATTTTGGAAGGTCTCTACAGAGCACAAAAAACGCTGCGAGACATTCGCATACCGGGCTACGTAGCCACTTTGGCACAGCTACCGCGGCGTAGATAGTATCTTCCTATAGCCCTTGMAAATSGGGAGGCAAATTCGCTCTACCTACTACGGACATTCCTGGGGTTGTTCCCAGCGCAGCAGTGGTTCCAAAAATACTACTTTGCGTAGAAATGTGTCTACCAGSAAAGCCTGTGTGAAAGTAGAAAAGGTAGCCGAAAATGGTTGCCGAAAAAAGGGAAAAAATATGCTCTTATAAATAAACGTCAACTCCAAACGGTAGTTACCTTCGGGCATTAAATCTATTATCTTTTCTGCTCTTTCTTCGTCCATGRTTTCTTCTCTGTCTCCTTCTGCGAATGTCGTGAAGGCGAAGTCAGCATCCAACCTATCTAAGACTTGAGTCCGTAGTTTGCGCACAGTTTTGTTTCGAATGCTTGTGATGGCGTCCATCTATATCTAGGAAATATTTTAACCTTTGTTTGTGACACTACGGAATCCTTTACATTCGTGCATCGTATATAGAACAAATATCTTAACTTAGTACTGCGGGGCACCGATAAAACCCGTAGAGAGCTTTTCAAATGGAATTACGCGGGYAATACCCAGAACGRCCTTACGGGTAATACCCGCGGCCGACCGACGTACGTGAGCGCGGGTAATACCCACATAATTCCGGGGGGTGACCGCGAGTCCCCCTTACTGCTGCTACATCGAAAACTATAAATTAAATCAATTTGTCTATTTTCTTGATGTGTTTTCCTTTTATTGATAACTCTGGTTTATTGATCCGCGGAAATCACGTTCAGACTCGATTACACAAACTTTAAGTTGCAGTATGAATATTCATCGCTGTCGGCGTGGTTTTAGTTGGAACTAAGATGTTTCATTGATTTTTTTATTTCCTCGATAAAATATTATGTTAACTGTCTCAATGTTCGTGCGGTAATGTGTACGTAACGGTGGCTGGTAACGTGAAGTAGGCGGATCCCTCGAGTGAAGCAGCAACAAGCCTTGCGCTGCGTCTTATTATGACAGTCTGGGGTGCGGTTGTTCGCTCTGGCTGTTTTGTAGGTGTTTCCCTATGGAAAAGAAGATTCTTTATTCGGTATCTCTTATTAATGGTATCTTATTCCACGCCAGTGCATGCATCCTATCTCATCCATCCATTCACATTTAATCCCATTACTTCATTCATCCATCCACCCATTCTATCCATCCACCCATTCTATCCATCCACCCATTCTATCCATCCACCCATTCTATCCATCCACCCATTCTATCCATCCACATAAGCAATCCATTTCATCCCATCCATCTATCCCACCCACTCATCCATCCACTCCATCTATTCATCCATCCGCTCCATCTATTCATCCATCCATCCGTCCATTCCGATTCCGATCCGATTCATTCATCCCATCCATCATATCCATGCATCCATCTATCCATTCCATCAATCCATCCATCCATTCCATCAATCCATTTTATCCCACCCATTCATCTATCCATCCCACCTATCAATCCTACTTATCCATCCAGCCATCCATCTATATTCAACAACCCAACCACCATCCATGCCATATCCATCCATCCATCCATCCATCCATCTTATCCCTCCATCCCTCCCTCCATCCATCTCTTCATCCATCCATCCCACCCATCCATCACACTTATCCATGCTATTTATCCATCCCACTTATCCATCCAGCCATCCATCTAGATATTTCAACAACCCAACCACCATCTATGCCATATCCATTCTTCTTTTCATTTTCTCATCCGTACCTTCTCCACTTCGTTTCCTTTCCTTTCTTTCRTCTTTCATTAAATTCTCAATGCCACTTTTTTGGACTATTATTCTTCACTAACCGTGCCGTCTTTATTTTGTGTCTTTTGTTTACTCTTTCTATAAACTGCTTCAGAGTTATTCCAGAATTAATCAACTTGTCCACGTCGGAATATTTGTCCGGCACGTTTGCCTCCGACCTGTGCTTGTTGCCTTCAAGATGCTGTTTTGTTCCAATATCGTATTCCGTGTCACACAGCTCACAATAACCTGTCGTTCGTTTGATAATTGACCAAAAATGTAAGGTGATTGCCATAATAATAAATAATAATGGAACTTATATAACGCACATCAAAATTCATGGCGCTACACTCTCGATCCCAGAGCCCGTTCATTGTGGCTGCGCATGCTCGACAAAACGTCCATTTCTGTAGACTTGCAAGTTGGGGTGATCTCTGGCTCCTTACATGGAACTGCTCTCCAATATTTGTATTATTTTTCAGCTTTTTTGCGAGTTGGGGTTATGTCAGGCTCTCAGCGTGTGAAAATTCGATATTTTACACATATATTGTAAGAGCATTGAGATGTCACGTAATGCGATCTTAAGAATAAAATTATTATTATTCTCATTATTCTGGTATGTCGTCGAGCATGCGCAGTAAGAATGATAGGGGTCTGGGGACAAAAGACTGCCTAGTACAACTATGGAACGTTCGATTTGAGTCCACAAGCGTGTGCCCGCTAAAAGTTATTAAACCTTAAAAATTATGYTATGGAACCGTACTAGTTTTGAACATCCGGAGAGCAAAACCCTCAACTTCTTCACGAAGAAAAGAATATTGAAACAAAACGTTTGACACAAAGATCGAATAGATGACATGGAATTCACTTACTACAAAACGTTTTTTTTTTTTGGCGCTTGTTTTTGACAAAAAATAATAATTTCAATAATAGTTATATTATCTATTACTCGTATCATACCTTTCTTGAGTGTAGCCTTTCTAAACAGTCTCTTTCTTCTTGGTGATAAAGGTGTTGAAGATCTTCGGGCTCTTTTGATGTCATCGAACGGTCCGTTGCCTGGTTTTGCATCCAGGTTAGGGCGTGGCCATGATTTCATTTCTTTGACCAGTGGTCGGTATTTCCTTCAAATGCGTGATCATTAATTTCGTCAGAACTTGCAATCTTTGTAYCCAGAGCCTGCGTTTCTTTCGGTCTGCGGCGAAGAACGAGGGCTCTGGCATAATCCATTTTTTGGCGCATGCGCAGTTTTCCGGAAGTGAAATATAATGAATGAAAATCATGCTTTCAAACCTGCTTTCAAACAGAGTTCTGTGTTTACTTTCGATCAAAATAAGAATTAGAAATTGGGAATAAATTTTTTTTATTTTTGGCAAGTCTTTTAACGTATGCGCTCTTATACCGGAAGTCCAAGAAATCCTGGTCTCAAAAAATGGATTATGCCAGAGCCCTCGTTCTTCGCCGCAGGCCAGAAGAAACGCAGGCTCTGGGTACGAGATTGCAGAACTTGAGGAATTTAGCAATAAGAGTTAGGAAAGGATTTTAATTTTCATCCTTTTTCAAACTTAAGTTTTTTTTAATATTCATTTTTTATTTGTTTGTTTTATTTTTTAATTCTCATTTGGATAATTAATGACCCAAGTTTTGATTGAGATATGTTTTGGCTGTCCTACAGCCATCGCGGTCAGTGATATAAAGGATTGATAAGATTGTAATTGCAAATTACTGACGATGACTGTAGGACAGCCAGCCGAAACATTCTTCTATTAAACGGCTTTGGTTACTATTTATCAAAATTATTGTAAATTACTGTACTGTTGGAAAGAATTCTCATTCTTGACCGTTTTGAATGTTTCTAAAAAATTATTATTGCCCAGGATTTAGCGTAATTAAAGATAGTGATCCAGAATTAATGAAACAAGTAAATAAATAAATAAATTCGGCATCAGAACTGGTCACATTTAAATGGCTTCCAGAAAAAATCGTTGCATTTAATTGGCTTCTAGAAACAATAAATCGCATTTGAATAGCTTGCACAMAAAAATCATTGCGTCAAAAGCTCTTCTACTTTGGCTTTGCTTCTTTCCATCTTTCTATTGTCCTCATTATTAGATCTGAATAGCCGATAACGAGTTTTTGGTGTAGTTTTCTATATCCTAGATCTTTTTATATAAGTGTTCTATAGCTTTTGTTTCACTCGTTTCAGTCTAAGTATTTTCGTCATTGTTAGCCTAGTCCCTTAGGAGTTTTTGTATGCTTTATATACGCCCTCTATGCTAATACTTAGTTGGTGCTCGCAGTTCGTCCCTTCATACACAAACGTAAGTTATTCGTTTCCCTTACTTCTTATCGTTTTTGCAGTTTAATGTTTCGTAGTTTTTCCTACTTGTTATATTATATTTACTAAGTTCTTTATCTATTTGTAGTCTTTACCTTACGCTATGCGTACGAGTTTAGAATAAAACATTCAAGTATGGGACATGTAGTATCAACACTCATGTTCACTACAGCAGTTTTCAATAGCATAGTTTATAAATTCCAAGCAAGACAACATTGTTTATGTCTTTTATTACGAACTCTTGAGCAAAAAAATTTTTTGACTTGGAGTGTTTCYGGTTTTCTATACATGAAATCTTGGGGTGCTTCGCCATGTTTAAAAAAAGGTTTTTTGTCTTAGAAAGAGATGCGCGCCGCCTATTGATGGTTTTTACGGCGGCCATGTTGGAGGAACGTAACAAAAGAATTGTCAATGAACTCTTTTGTTATATCCTTCAACATGGCCGCCGTGTCTTTTGTTATTTAATTCTCTTGGGAATAGTTGAGGACCATCAATATTTAGGAATCCCACTAACCTTGAGCGGTCTTCAACCTTGATGAATGCTCCTCTCAGCCGACGTAYTTTCGTGTTTCTCTTGGGTGTTCGGGATTTTTGGTCTGCGACTTTACGTTCTTTGAGCCATTCTTTGAATTCATCAAAGGTTTTGACGGGGATTTTCCAGGTCTTTGCATKCCTCGTCACGTCACTGGAACTTATGCTCGATGGAAGTGGCTTGGCATTTTGAAGCATTGTTTGACCACGTGACTACACCGTGATTGACAGAATAAGAATAGCACTWGATTGGTTTTAATTCCAAAGTGAGTATGTAATGTAGGACTGATTTTCTTAGAATTTTATCGTATAATCGAAATTATAGTCAAAGTTGTCTTTTAACAACTGTGAATTTGTCTGAAACTTTTTTTACCAAAAAAAAAAGAGACCGCGCGATTATTGACTCGCAAACTCGAATGGTTGTTTTCCTATGTTATCATCAGACTGTTAACGAAGAGTGGTAGTAATAAACCTAAAACTTGGGTGTCAGTTCTCCCAGTTCAGAACACGTGTCATCTTTCTCTTAAAAATTAGATYTGTTTGAGTCTTATCCATATTCATGCATCTTCTCTTGCGCAACCGTTAAGCAAAGAAATGATATACTATAGAGAATGACACGTGTTCTAAAATGGGAAAYATTAAGGCGCGATTACGTGGAGCAATTTTCTCTGCAACTTGTCTTGCAGCATTTTGTTTACATGGTGCAACGTAGACGCAAACAATTGCTGCAACTTGTCTCGCAACATATTTCAAATTKCGCTGTAGGTTACACGCTGCAATGCTCCATGCAACTTGTGTCGCAATGCCGTTGCAAKACAAGTTGCATAGAAAATTGCTCCGTTTCATCGCGCCTTTACGCCCGAGGTAAAGGAATCTATAGACCCCTTGCATCGCTTTGGAATGCAGCTCAATCTGGGGGACAAAACAATAGGTTCCAATTCTAAGGAGACCGGAACTGTTTTGTCCCCCAGATGAAGCTGCTTTGACGTCACATGCAAGGGTTCTATTGTTACTTGACTTTCCTTGTTGCAACCAGAAAGAGCCAGCCCGTACCGCTAAACCTAACCTTACAAAAGCGGTACTGTACTTAGGGAGCAATGAAAATCCAGCTTTCGAGCGGTGCTGGATTACTTACCAGAAAACCAGTTTATTTAATATGGAATTAAGATTAAATTTATTTTGATGATTACTGTTTACTGCCTTTTTCAAAGGCCCTCTCAACAGCAAACTACCAGACTTAACCAACATTAACGTTATTCTTTATGGATAACTTACCGGATGGAATCGTGGTGATGTTCTGCGAATGTCAGGTCTATCTGTGACGACATATGTCACGTGTTTACTGAGAAAGCGAGCCATAGTCTAAAGGTAACACACTTTGCTTATAAACATTGGATTCCATGTATATATTACTGACAGCATAATGTTCGGGAAGTGGGGAATGACGGAGTGGGATGGGGTATTACATTCACTCGGACCCCAGTCGAAGTCATGCGATTGATCAACTATCAGGGTTAAGTCTTAGGGTAAAGTACAGTTACTCGGGCTCCCTAGGGTTGAACACACTAAGTACATAATCCCATACTCCTCATACATACCCCTCCCAGTTGTACAATAGCTTCCTCTAACTTGTCGCTCCTGCTCTTTTTAGGTACGTCGAGGTAGAAAGACTCGCCATGCAGAGGCCTGGGTAGGGCATGCTTGCGCCTTCTTAACAACGATGAGCCTACAACGAAAAAAAAAATTGTAGTCCCGCGCTCCCACCAGCCAATAAAATGCCGTGTTGTGTGCTGTTAGTGGATACACGGATGACGCATGCACTTTGCTAATGTCGGAAGTAACAATGTAAAGAAGACAAAGGCCAGAGTGGAGTCATTGAAGTTCAYACCACTGTCTGGTTAGTTACATTTCTCTTTTGCTTTACGAAATTTTTAAAGAGCTTTGATAAGATTCGAAATACTCGTTGAGGTTCTCAAATAAAAACGAAAAGTAATCCAAAAAAAACCGTAAACCGAAATAGAAACATTTTTCATACACGTTAAAAAGCGATCCGCATTCACTGTGAACCGATCCAATTTTTCATTCAGAATGTAACCGAGATGTTATCAAGGCTGGTAGAGCAGAAGTGCACTCGTCTCTCACGTCTGGGGTCTCGGGTTTGATTCGTGGACTCGGCATCACATGTGAAAAGAGTTCGTTAGGCACCTGCCTTGACTTTTTCAAGAGGTTTTCTCTGAATTCTTCACTTTTTCTCCCTCCGCATAACCTACCTCGCTAAATTTTAATTTGATCTATCAGTTAAATAGTCGTGCCCTGTCTTTGATCATTCTAGAGGATATTTCATAGTATCTATGAAATGTCAAGTTTTCTTTACGAGAAATTAAGGAAAAAAGGAAAACGCCTATTTATTTCTCACCTTGTTTTGGAGGCATCGTGTACTCAGTTTGACTGCGCGCGCGCTGTTTTTTAAAAAGACATCTATCACCGATATGTTATTATGACGTCATTAGCCTATTAATTAAAAATAACGTCATAAGAAATCGATTTGCCGCGCGCGCTGATTGGCTGGCTACCGTGTTTATACTAGAGGATAGAGAAAAAATCGTTCAAGAATTCATAAGAGGAACGACTGCATATGTTTCTGTATTGTGAGTAGTGCAATCGAAAAGCAAGAAAAACATTTGGCTTCGTCTCGTGCTCCTAAGCTTGATTTATCTTGTGTTCTACAGCTCCCAGCGTATGTTATTTATTCGTATTCATGTTGGATTGAACTAGACCTGTAACCCGACTGGTTTAGAACAAGCAATGAAAATAAATGCGGCAACAAATGCATCACAGGTAAGACTAGATATAGCACCGTGTATTGGAAAACATTTACTAGGTGACTGCACTAAAATTCAACTTACGGACTCACTTTGTGGTGACTGTGTATTTTGAGTGGTAAAGCAATGACTTTGCGCACTTTTGGTCAATGTAATGAAGTCCAATTTTGTCAATGTAGTCCATTTTTGTCTCGCTCCCTTCGATAGTCTGTCACCTCAAAAATCAAAAGTAGTACAGACTCATTCAAGAGAAAATGAGCTAGTTTAATGCGCAATGTTGAGTGTAAGTTCATACAATGTGAACAACATAACATTTCTCAAGTTTCACAGTCAAGTCAATGATGTCATGGTTGTGCAGCAACTACCAACCGTCATATTTCGTACTTGTACTTGTCATTAGATCTAAAGATCTCTAAAAAAATCACAGGGCTCAAAGGAAAATCACAAGTGCGCTCGCAAATTACATATTTATTTGTTCACTTCTTCCGCTTGCTCTCTGGTAGCGCAAATTACTGTAAATAAGAGGGTCAATGCAACGAAAATCCCAACAGAAACTATGGTCAATATCTTATGTGTAGTGCTTTTAGTGCTCTGTCATGATGTCCAGCGGAATTTCACGTGAAATTGCAAACGCAAGTTCTTCGGATAGCAGAAAAAATATGAACGCGCACACTAACTTTCCTGATTCCCGTAACGAAAATGGCAAAAAATCATTTTCTTGATGATATTCTTGGAGAAAGTGAACTTGTACACTATTATATTTTTCTTTTTTATTCTTTACTATTTTTTTTCTTTCTCCTTTTTGCTTTCCTCTAAGCAGACACGAGAGTGCACAAGCAAAATGGACCTCAACCCAAGTACACAGCAGGACATTATAGTCTKAATATCAATGAGGTTGGCATGAT